TGCTCGAGGCCTCAAATCACATCAAACAACTCTAAAACCATGAATTACACCCCGATTCAAGCTTTATGAACTTTGAACTTTCCAACTTCCACTTCCGATGTTTAAACCTATCAAATCATGTCCGATTGACCTCAAATTTTGCACACAAGTCATATTTGACATTACGGACCTACTCCAACTTCCGGAATTAGATTCCGACCCCGATATCAAAAAGTCAACCTCCGGTCAAACTTCTCAAAAACCTTCAAATTTCTATCTTTAGCCAAATGGCTCCAAAATGACCCACGGACCTCCGAATTCACTTCCGATCGCGCTCCCAACTCCATAATCACCATACGGAGCTATACGCAGTCTCGGAATCCCAAACGGACATTGATAACATTAAAATGCACTTCAAACCAAACTTATGAAATTTTTTCTAAAATGCTAACTTCCACAATAGGCGCCAAAACGCTCTCGGGTTATCCAAAACCTGAACCGGGCATATGCCCAAGTCTGAAATCATCATACGAACCTGCTGGAACCTTCGGATCCTGATTCCGAGGTCGTTTACTCAAAAATCCAATCCTAGTTCATTCTTTCAATTGTAAGCTTCCCAAATGAGAATTCTCTTTCTAAATCAACTCTGAACTTCCCGGAACTTAATTCCGACCACGCGTACAAGTCATAATACCTGAAATGAAGTTGTTCATGGCCTCCGACTGCTGAACGGAGCGCTAGGACTCAAAACGACCGGTCGGGTCGTTACATTAAGCTTTGATCTTGTGAAATTGGCTCCTCCACACTAAGAGGCTCTATATCTTCTTCTTCAACAGGAATAAATGGTGACACTTCGATCAACTTAAACAACTATTATATAAGAAAAAGTAAACATAAGTATTCAGAATTAAAACAAATAAACAAAAAAATAGATAGTAATTACATTAACTTACATTTTTATTATGGAAATATTTTCTACAAAGAGCATCAAACTGTGGAGACTTCATTTCAGAATAACATAACATCCGAGGATAACCAGATTCTTTGAAGTTCACAAATTGTTTTTCTTGGAAAATAGGAAGTACTTCCATAATCCAAACACAAAAGGCAAAAGGAAAGCCAACTATAGTGTAGCTATCCTTCTCTTTATCTTTGTCTTTCTCCTTCTCAATCTCATTCTTATTTGGCTTCAAACAACTCTTCAATGATTTTAATAGCGTCTCATAAGAAAGAGAGCCCCAGTTGAAGGAAGAGCAGAGTGCATCATCGTCGACAATTTTCATTATCTGATCGGACACATTCCTATTCTTCCGCTTGCCCATCAAAACAGATTCAACAAAATAGATTGTTGCCAACTTCAAAGCATCATCATCGCTGCCAACAAATGATGAAGTTGTACCATGTGGGTGACTAAAAATAAAACTAAACAAATCACCCAACTCAATTCTATCCTTCCCAGGGAAATAGACTCTTAAAAGCCTATTCTCTTTCTCATATAAACCTTTGATGTCGAGCGACGAATAAGACTTCAAACCAGTAATTATATGAAATGTGTCGCGGGTAAACTTAATTTCACGGTCAAATACCTTGAATGTCATTGAATCAGGTTCATTATTTACAATTTCTGAAAGCAATATACAGTGAATAAGTTTACCGGAGAACTTCACACTTTGTAATCGGAAGAAGTTGCCAAAAATACCATCCCTCAATTTCTTCCACTGGCTATTCGACAAAAAACTTTTAATTGTTTCCTTATATTGTAAATCTCCTTTCCAATACACCATAAAATTACGCCAATCCTCAAACTCGAACACACGATCTCCTTCCATTATCACACTACAAAAGAAGGAAAAAGAAAACAAAGATTAGGACTTACAGTTAGTTGGAGGGACTTGGTCCTTAACTTCAAGTGTCACGTACAAAAGTTAAGGACAAGCAGTCCTTAACTTAAAGTTTAAAGTTCAAAAGTTAAGGACAATAGGTCCTGAACTTCAAATTTGTAGTTCAAAAGTTAAGGACATTTGGTCCTTAACTTAAAGTTTCAAGTTTAAAAGTTAAGGAAATGCAGTCCTTAACTTATAGTTTCAAGTTGAAAAGTTAAGGACACTTGGTCCTTAACTTCAAATTTTAAGTGCAAAAGTTAAGGACAAGCAGTCCTTAACTTATAGTTTCAACTTCCAAAGTTAATGACACTTGGTCCTTAACTTCAAGTTTCATGTGCAAAAGTTAAGGACAATCAGTCCTTAACTTTGAGTTCCAACTTCAAAATTAATTTCGTTTCTTTCTTATATTTCATGAACACAGTTAACTAAAAATTTATAAACACAGTAAGCTTATGAATTTCTACGACTATTTTTATGAAATATCCCTACATAATCAAATATATTGAATCAACCACAAACACATTTCACATTTCAACACTAAAAATTTCTGAATAACAGAATCACACTACATCTCCGACACTGAATCAACATATAATGATAATTTTTGAAATTTCACACATACTTCACACGGCATTGAACCCGATTACACATATAGAAAAACAAAAATGCATCAAAAAAAACATATTACCAGTCGCGATCGATTCACAGAAGATGACGGAGAAGATGAAGGAGCAGAAAGATTAACTGAAGATCGTTTGCATGCGAGGATGATGAAGTAGCAGAGAAGACGCAACTTGCCCTGAAACCGCTCTCAAATGCTTTTCCCTCGTCTGAATGAAAAATAAGGGTTTTTGGGCATTTTGGCATTATAAGCACATTGAAGTAAGGGTAAATGTGTCTTTTCCCTATTAGTAGTGGCTATTTTTGCTGAGCATTGTAATTAGTGGATAAAAATTAAAGACACCCTTAATTAGTGGCTACTACACGTCATTTTTACTTATAAACTAAAGGTTAGTTAATGATTCGTGGATCACAAAATACATGCCCATAGGAATAGTTACGAAAATTTCAAAAATAGCCAGATTTACAAGTGGTCATTAAAAAATAGCCACAGTTTCAAAAGTAATCAAATTTTAGTCACTTTTCATGTAAAGATAAATTTGAACGAAAACACTGTTCAAAATCCGGAAAATACTCCAGCATAATATACTGGAACTCCAGTATAATATACTAGAGTTTCAGTATACTTATGTTGGAACTTCAATATATTATAATGGAGTTCTAGTATAATATACTGGACTTCGAGCATAATATACTGGAGTTCCAGTATAATATACCGGTCCAGCATAATATGCTGGAAGTTCATACACAGGTGTTCCAATCTCCAGTATATTATGCTGGAACTTTCTGCGTGTTGGAGTTCCAGCATAATATACTGGAAGTTCATACACAGGTGCACCGTTCTCCAGTATATTATGCTGGAACTTTCCATGTTGCAGGAAAATGGCAATGACTTTGCAAATGCTGGCTATTTTTGAATGACCCGTCCGAAAACTGGTTTGCCCGTGCTATTTAACCAAAATTTAGAGAATGAAATTATTCTTAAAAAAAGAGAATTTAGAGATGCAAAAGAAAAATTATAATGCACAAAGAATTGAAGGGTGGAATTAGTACTTATATTCCTTCAAATGCAGCAACACCCGCACAAACCCCCAGCAGTTTCAACTATAGGTGTTTAACGGCCCGGGTTGACCCGTTTCTGGATCGGCCCAGACCGGTATTAACCCGGACCGTCCCGGACCGGGGGTAGGGGGCCAGGTAGGGCTGGGTTTGGGGGATTAGGGGGTTGGGACGTTTACATATTTTTACTAGTTAACCGGACCGGTCAAACCCGGTCAAGGGAAAACACTTTTGAACCGGTTAACCGGACCGGCCGGAACCGGTTCAACGGCTATTTTTTGAATTTTTTTTAAAAAAATCCATTTCACTGTTGGCAACGGTCAGCTTCCAATTTGACCATTGCCCAACAGATATTTTGCAATAATAGCCTTTTTGGACAATTTATTTTTTAAAAATAACACTTTAGGTAATTACTAATTTAGCCCTTTGAAAAACTATAAGTACACCCCCTTCCCCCCTTCTTTATTTCTTCACTCATCTCTCATTTCTCAAACTCAAATTCTCAATTCAAGTTAAATCATGCCTCGTACTTCTAGAGTGCGCTCATATGTTTGGGAACACTTTGAGGTGGTAGAAGAAAATGAAGAAGTTCACAAAGTGCAAGAATTGTGGTCGAGTCTTAAATCTTCGTCTAAAGTGGGTGGGCATAGGCTGTTTAAGGAGGCATATGAAGAGTTGTTTTGAGCGTCCTCCAGAAATTCGTATTTAAGTTGATTTGAGATAATTTGTGTTATTTTATAATTATTAGACATATTTATGCTTAATGTTTTAGTCTGTTAGATTAATTTGAAGTATTATTATGCAATGAAAATTTAAAATGAAACTATGAAAGCCTTTGAAGCTTGATCCTTATATATCAAGTTATTATAACACTCTAGTGTCCAGTTATATTTTTTTCATGTTCATTGTATTATCTTAAATTCGTAATGAATTTTTCAAATATAAGGGTTTAAAGCCTTTGAAATTTATTCAAACACTCTTTTTATAAGATTATTTTTTTGTTTTATATTTTTACTTTATATTAATAAAAATTACGATAGTTATACAAAAAACAAAAATAACATAAACTCGGCCCGGCCCGGCCCCTTAGACCCGGAACCGTTCCAATCCAATTTTTACCCGAATGGGCCCAAACCCATTAAGCCTGGTTTGGATAAACTGGTAACCTGCCTGGATTGGTGACCGACCGGTCACTTTTTTTCTCAACCCGGACCGGCCCGGCCCACCCATTTGACACCTTTAGTTTCAACCCAAAATCCGCAACTGTCCCACCCCGCATTAAATCTTCAAAAATTTATTTCAACCCGCACCGCACCGCATAAGGTTAAACCCGACCCGCCCATTGCCATCCCTACCTTTAAGTCCCTTTACTTTTGCTCTTTTATTTCCAAAATTAAGCAATACATTCACCAAAAAACTCCAATGAAAGTGTAACAAACATGCGCCTCCGGTCATAAATTTCTCCAGCAAATCAAGAAGCAATTCAGGTTTGTATTACCAGTTTTTAACAGATAACAATTCAAGACGTGATGGAGTTAAAATAACCAAAAGGATGCACGATATCACTGTCACGCAATATAGACCAAGAAATATAAAAAAAAGCATTTAAAATCCTTGCAGCAAGATGCACAACCTAATACATAATGCTCAGGCACAAGAAAACAGCATAAACAAATTCGTGCAGCACGGTGTAGGTTGCCATACATTACAGTTACTTTCGCTTAGATTGCTTCCTACTCTCCAGTTTTCTGCGAGCAGCTTCAAATTCTTCCTCGCTTGGCTCTGTCGTAGATGGATCCCCACCATATTTGCTAACCAAAGTTGAGAACATAGAATTCATTTTGCCTCTCCGCTCATTTTGCCGCTGAGATATGATGGCATATAAATCCTCTGGTTCTTTCTTTGATCTGCAATGTTCCAAGTTCTCTAGTTAGGATATAGCACTTTCAGTTAATGATGCATAATGTAAACGATGACTCACTTTTGCCTCCTCAATGGGCTTGTAGGCGGTTTTGTTTCAGACACTTCCTTTTCCCATTTCTCATATGCTTTGGTTGACTTTATCTCCCCTATCAAAGTAAAATATAAGGTGTGAATCACTTTCCAGAGAATAGGATTTTGTGCCAACCACAACAAAAACTATTGTTAAAACGAAAAAATTATTGGAATATTTATGCAACAAAACAGATGGCTAAACAGTTTGTTGAAAGACATGATTTTATCAATAAACACATTTATTTCCTTACTGTAAGGGCATCATAGAGGACAAATTGTGATATTTACTGATCCTTGAAATCTATTTTATCTACATAAGTTGGATCTCCATGATATACTTAATATGATGGCAGCTTCAAGAAAAAATAATTTGACAAAAGAAAGGTCATCCAGACAGAAATCAAACTCTACCTGCTGATATAGCCTCGTCCAGAATATCTTTGAAGCGGTGTGAATCTAATTTGGGATCAGAGCAAATCATGGAGCAAAAGAGCCTGCAGAAGAACACCAATTAGGTGGCAACCTAGAAATCACAGCATTAAACAGGAAAGAGCGCACTATTTCCGACTTTCTGCTGATACCTTTTCATTTTACCCTTATACTTCTTGTATAGATCAATCAAGTCCTTCCTCTCCGACTCAGATCCTCTATAATTTGATTCAAACTGTTCAATATCAGCCTCAGTAATCTGCAAAAAAAACATGTGTAAGTTCCTCCAATGTTAGAGTGTCTACTACTCAATTAATAGAGTGGAGCAATCGTTTACTGTTACCTTTGGATGCATAGCTCGGAAAAACTCCTTCAAGTTTTCAACATCTCCTGCCAGGTCCTGTTAGTAGGCAGATGACAATATGAAAACCTTACTTTCAGATAGGTGTAACTGAGTTGCTCCCAGATAGCACTTTAGCCAAAAAGAACATTATATTCTCTAAGACACGTGGATAAGATTGTTTACAGATCTCCACAATTTTTAGAGTCTCAATATGTAAATTTTTGATATCTAGAAGAGTCAGACATCAGTTAGACTTGTCTGCAAGAACCAAAAAATATACAACCTGGGTAAACATAAAAGACACCGTACGTGCGTCTACTGGAACATTAAATTTGACGGGCATAGAGAAGTGTTGATTTACTTCCCTAAGGGAAGATGGTCATCCTTATCCTTGTTGTTTGGTGTACCTTTTCTTTCTTTTTTTTCCTTTTGGTATACCTTAAAGGAAGTTAAACGCATTTTCTTACTCCATTGCTTCCCTAACCAGGAGGAGCCACACACCCTTCCACTTCCCATTTCTTTCACTACCTAGAAAAGAAATGTCAAATAGCACAGCATTACCTCCTTTTATTCACCTCCACTTGCCCCTCTTTCCACCTCAACCGAAGTAGGTTATGACAAAGAATTTGGCTTGATATATTAGTTTCTAGAGAAAATTGTATGAAAGTTGGATTTCAGTTTCTCTTAGCAAAGAACGGGTCAGCCAAACCCAACCCAACAGTCACCTTCAGAATCTGTTACATTACAGTAATGAAATTTTGGCTCATTATCTTAACAATGAAATAATCTTTTACTATGTTGCACCATCATATGCAATAAACATAATTAAAAGTTCCAATATACTGAAGATGCTCAAAATTTCTTAACAATTATAAGAGTTTGCAAGGTTCACAGGAAAAAAAAAGAATCACAGTGATACCACTCACAGCATCATCAACACAGCCAGTTTGATCATAAAGTGCTCGTTTCTCCTCATCACCTAAAATTGCTATCACCTTTTGCAGCTGTTGAAATTTCTCTTTTGCTTCCTATAGAAAGAAAATTAAGATTACTCGTCTTTCAGATGGCTCATGTAAACAGCAAAGTGAGGTAAACCATGCTCAATCATTATGGGGACAGTTATTTACCTCATCATCCGGATTCTTATCGGGATGGAGCCGCAGAGCCAACTTGTAATATGCCTTTTTTATTTCCTGTTGGGATGCTATTCTTTCGACCCCAAGAATCTACAAAGATGATGCCTTGTTAGTATTAATGCTCTTCCTTGAATAAGTACACCAAAAGGATCAGTAACTTAACACAAAAAGAAATGCATGCACTTAGTTTGCAGAAAGATCTTCCAAACCATTATTCCATAGGCCCATGAAAACTTTATTTTTATGGCTTCATTAGTAAGCATATCCCATGCCTCAGACAATTTAGCACTCTTTCTACAGCTACACATGCCAATATTTACACATATATAGCAGGAACTTATCCTATAATTTTCCAATCAAATTAGCAACATATGTATCACTTCTCGACAGTACTTTAAAGCAATCGCAATTAATACACCCCATATCCAACAAGATATCCTAAATTTGCAGTTTATACACTAAAACACAATAAAAGAAGTCACTAGCCGCTGCTCATTCATTACACAGAGCTAAGACTTCATTAGTCAGCACTTCACATGCTTCAGACAGTTCAACATTCTTTGTACAGCTATGAAGAACTCAACTTGGCAGGATCCATGCACATACAACAAATGCATGCATGTGCATGTTTAGAGAGTAAGTTTATCCTAGAATTGACCGGTCTAATTTGTATTAATAGATATTTCTTCTTGCATAATAAATCTCATAACCATCAATACTCTCCATAGAAATTTGAAGCTTTTCACAATAAAACACATAAGTGACTCATTAGCCGGTCCCATCCAATACAACTACAAACTCAATGATCTTACAGGCAAAATATAGAGCACAGGCTGGTACTAATCTTCAGCATCGCGTTATATTAACCAAAAAGGCATACCTACTTTGGATTTGGGGGGTCACGGGAACCAGTTAGCCTCGGCAAAAACCATGTATATATATATTTTATATATATTTGTATATACATTGAGGACCCCTTAAATAATTTACTAGACCCCCTTAATCACAAAAGCCCGGATGGGAGCACTGGTTAAGCTTGGCTGATCAAGATTCCTTCCCTCACTTGTTGATCTGGTTCGAACCTAGCTCCTGCAACTAAGTTTAGTCTTCTTTTCTTTTTCTTACTTTCTTGAATTCAACATAGTTTATACTTAGTATTCAACTGGTTTATTTTTTCGTATTTTATCTTTCTCAATGTAATTTCATTTTAGTACTTGTACATAATAGTCTAATTTTTTCTGAATTCAATTATAGTTTAATTAGGACGTGTACTTAATCGTCAACTTAACAAAATCAAATGCCTCACCTTAGCTCCTATCTCCACAAATAAAAAGTACAAACCATTCTACCTCCCTTAGAATTGCTTTGACGAAGTAGCCGGCATCTGTCAACTTTATCGGTTATGACTGAGAGTTTGAGACTCTTTTTCAAATCTTTGACTACTAAACATACCCTTAATCTTGGTTTTATTTGAGTAAGTTTTTGATATTTTTAAAATTTGAACACCTTTTTGATCACTAATTTTTTTTATTTGAGAAAAACTATAAATTAGATGTTTGAAATAAAACCAAACGCCTTTCCTTCCCATAGCACCCATTTTGTAAAGCAATCTTTATGTTTAGTGCTTTCTCTTTCTTTAAAAGAGTTGCACGCCAAATTTTTTAGCCAGTAATTGATGCCCCCGTTACACTTAAATCCTAGGTCCACCTCTGGATATAAACCAAAACCATAAACAAATGCACAAATTTAAACATTAAGGGAAATTTCAGCATCTGCTACAAGCACATACAAACAGACATTTGTCCTATGATCAAACTATTTCAAGTGACCTTCTCTAATTATATATAGTTAGAAAGATATATAAAGTTCTGTTTTTTAGCATCAAACCCGCAATTACTTGACATAAAAAGCTAAATCCACCTACAAAAGGTAACAAAATGCTTGAAATCAGGTAAAGGTAGAAAGAAAAATAAATACAAGTACCTCATAAAGGCTCTTCTCATGTGACGAAGAACCGATCACGTTCTCTTGATTTCCCTGCATTTCTACGTCTTCTTCTTCCGAATTCTCCACCGGAACCCTAGCCGTCTTCTTTCCCTTTCCCATACGTCAAAGCTCAGAGATGCTTACACTACTTGTGCAAGTAAACCCGATTGAAAAATTAAAATAAAGACAATTTTTAATCTATTTAATCAAATTTATTAACAAATGAGGCATATATAAAGGCGGAGGATTCCCGCCATATTGATCCTTGAGCTCTCCGAGTTCCCGCCAGGTGCCATTTGATCGTTTTTGCAGTCCACTAGGGATTTATAGAGGGTCAGGATCTTGCCACGTAAGCTAGAGTGAAAGTACAATTTTTTTATTTTTTTTATTGGGTAATTAGTACTCCTACAACCTTTCTTTAAAGAGTAAATACCATTAAAAAGTAAAAATTAATTGTGATTTTACTACATATTTTCAAATAATTTTAAATTCTCTTTAGTATAAAACCTTACAGTTAGGCTTATAAATACAGTATTCCATTCGAAGTAAAATTTTATTTATTGAAAATTACATACTATAAATCTTGCTGCTTCTTTTTAAGATGCAGTTATTTTATTTTCTAATTTTTAAGCAACGATCTACGTATAAGCTGCTGAAGTATGTTATAGGGAATCTTAGGGAATATACGAAAAAGGGACACTATCTACCAACAACTAACCATTTTATTATGCTATCAAAAATAGTCACACAAAAAATTATCAATGATCTACGCCATTCAAAAAATATAGGCAAAAAAAGATTTTTTTTAAATGGATATTGTTGTAATTCGTTGAAAACACATAAATGCGGCAATATGCTAAATTTGACAAAGTATGAAGGGGAGTTAGACTAGTTTGAAAGCAAGATTCATTATCAATGATATAAAATATTTAAAAAAAAATAGGCCAAAAAGGATCTTTTTCAAATGTTGTGGTTGAAATTCGTTGAAAACATATAGATGATCAGATGATGTAATACATAAAATTTGAGCAAAGATTGGTGGTGATTTGGACCTGTTTGATATCTAAATTCGTAGACAAAATTGAGTTTAAAAAATTCTTCCGCGATACATATGTCACGCATGTATCTCACACAGGTATACATGGATATACATGTGATACACATTTGATACATATATGATACATATATGATACATAAATGATACACGGTGTGATACACATATCATCTTTTTCATGATCAACTTCTACTTCGAATTTTCAATTCAAACCACCTCAAAACTCTATCAAACCATCCTAAACTTGATATTGAAACTCTTTAAGATTACTTAATCTATTCCAACAACACTCACTCAAAAGAAAGCAAAAATTTGACTGTTTTTAGCTACAAATAGCTAATTGGCTAATATTCATAGCATTTGGCTAATATTGATAATATTTTATAAATTGGCCAATTTTTTTAATAGCTTACTTAAAGGGGGAAATAACTCGTAATTTAAATAAAAGCTTCCACGGATATGGTACTTAAAATGTTTGTAGATACTCCTGTAAGCACATTAATTTTGTGGAATTAAAATTCGTATTGAATTTGGATAAATTCCTAAATTCAATATATATCAAGCTCAAACTAAAATTAATTATTTAAGTCCACCCTGGATTTAAATCAAAGTCCATTTTTATTTGAGTCAGTCCATTTAGTTGGACTCTAAAAGACGAGCCCATTTTACTAGCCTAAAGTCCAAATGGCTTATAGCCCGTCTTAAAGCCCAAGCTCACGTCACATGTCAAGTGATGTGGCAATCCAAGCCTATAAAATCATGTCATGAGTCAAGAAAGGGTGGCATACCAAGTCAAATCAACAATCAATAGAGTTGTGCCAAGTATCTAGATAGTGTTGGTCAGTTCAAATGGACCAATCAAATCGCAGAGCCATACCACTCCCTACAACTATAAATATAGGTCTTCATAAAGTTAGAAGACCCCAGAAGTAAGAACAAGAAGCTAGCCGAGAGCTCGTGGATCAAAGACTACAGATTTCTCTACAAGCTACAAGTTCAAGCACTCAAGCTACAAGTTCAAGCACTCAAGCTACAAGTTCAAGTTCAAGATCAAGAACAAACACAAATCAAATATCAAGGCGTTCAAGATCAAATTACTTGTTCGTGGCGAATAATTCGACCAAGTTCAGGATAGAGATTCAAGACCAAGCTTTACAAGCCCTTAAATTAAAATCAAAGTCAAGCTCACTAAAACACTTTACATTCTTGAATAATTAGAGGAATATCATAGAAATGTAAAATTCATTATTCATTGAAATCAAATACTACATTTGTTACGTAATTTTCTAGTCTTGATTATTTATTTTTGTCGACGCGAAAATTTATTGTTACAAATTTTTTGCACGCCCAGTGGGACATAATTCTTTACCTCTCATCTCTTCAATTACCAAATTTCTAAACAGTGAAATGGCTCCTAAGAAGACCAAATTCAAATTCACTACTGCTAAGGCTTCGGATTCCAAGTTTTCCTCTGATGTGGAACTTGTTGGACGCTACTATGGAAAGCGTAGGACCTATCACTAGGAACAAAGCAAACTTGCTGGGACAACAAGCATTTCAAATGTCGTCTGCATCAGTTCCTATCTTTGATTTTCACTCTCAAAGGGGACAAGATCATTTTCAACTAAATTGGAAGAAGGAGCGAACATTGCTGAAATCGTTGAGAAGACATTGGCTCTACTTAGCCCATCTAGATCTAAGAATATCCTCACACAAGATGACGATGATGTCTTGGTTACTGGATCTGCTCCAATCACTGCGCATGAGTTGTTCCATTCAAAGTATGGTGTAAGAGAAAATCCATGCTTTGCTCCACCATCCACGCCAGTTATCCAAGCAATGGTGACTTTCACTTCAATTGTTGAATAATAACTCGCAAGTTTGACAAATGCAATTGAAGGGTTAACAATGCATATGCAGGATCAAGATAATCAAATTGTCAAGCTGACAGATATAGTTGAAAGCATGATTGAGGGAGATTCAAGAGCACCAAGAAAGTTCCCTATGATTCAAGATAAAGGAGACTCATCTACAAGGCAGACAACGACTCCTTAAGAACTTCAGATTTCATCTGACGGGGTTATCCCCATTGACAAATTAAAAGACTTAATTATGGGAATCATCAAAGATAAGTACGATGTTGTTTTCAAGTCTTATCTCACATATGTAAAGTCATACACTGTGAGAATTGATAGTTTACATATGCTTGCAGGTTATCAACCTCCAAATTTCAACAATCCGATGGTAAAGAAAATCCAAAGCAACACATCGCACACTTCTTCGAAACTTGTAATAATGTTAGAATCAATGGAGATTATCTTGTCAAGTAATTTGTCCGCTCCTTAAAAGTAAATGCTTTTGATTGGTACACTGATCTTAAGGCTTGTTCCATCGATAGTTGGGAGCAACTTGAACATAAATTTCTCAATCTCTTCTATAGCACAAGGCGCATTGTAAGTATGGTTGAACTCACAAACACGTACCAACGGAAAGATGAACTGGTTGTTGATTTCATCAATTGATGCAGGAATGCAAGCCTCAACTGTAAAGACAGACTTAGTGAAGCTTCCGGAATAGAAATGTGTATCCAAGGAATGCATTGGAGACTTCGCTACATCCTACATGGTATCAAGCCTATGTTTTTTTGAAGAATTAGCTACATATGCTCATGACATATAGTTAAGCATGTCTTCAAGTGGAAATAAAGGACCACATATTTATGAATCTCGCAAAGGGAACGATAAACAAGAAATAAATAAAGGAGGCAAATTTGTGCCAAAGTCTGAAAACAAGGAATCAATGAATGTTAATGCCTCGCCATTAAATGTCACTACAAAAGTGAGTAAGAAGCAAAGTGTGAAGACGACGTCCTTGCTGGATAAAGCTGGCCGAAAGTTAACTCTGAAGGAAATGCAATCGAAAGAATATCAATTCTTGGACTCTAATGTTCCAGCAACTTTTGAAGAACTCCTTGAGTTGAAACTCATTGAGTTAACTGAAATGAAGAGGCCAGATGAAGCTGGAAGGACTAATAAATCCAAATTTTACAAGTACCATCGGTTGACTAGACACCCTATTGAAAAGTGCTTCATCTTCAAGGAGAAAGTCATGGACTTGGGTGAATGAAAAATCTTGCTCGAGGATGAGAAGTAAAGTTCAAATCAAGTCTCTGTCACCTTTGGTTCACTTGATCCCATTGTCCTTTGCAATTTTGCCAAAGCACATGAATATGAGGGCATCCAGACTGCATCACCGCCAAAGATGATTAAATTTGGTGACTTTGAGCCTATCAATATGAACATATCATTGTTTCTCCCTATAGTAAATAAGTAATAGAGGAGGAAGGATCTCAAGAGGAAAGTGAATCATGTGCTGGTTAAACTGATGATGAAGGTTGGATTCTTGTGACTCGACAGAGACGTTACAAGACAAATTCAAAAAGGGAGTCAAGTAAGCAATTGGATAGGGGAGAATGGTGAACATGATAAAGAATAATTGGAAGATAATAAAAATGGAGGAGAATCACAATCAAAGGCTACGTCGTCTGTCACACCCCTTTTTACCCCTAAAAAGATATATGTGTTGTGGATTGTGAGTTTAAGAGTTTTTCCAATTAAAGTGATAAATTTGAGTGGGGATTATTTTATTTATAGAGTCGCCACTTGGAATTGATTTTTGGGTGTTCCAAGTCACCTTTTATTTGAACCCCCAGTCAAAGGAAACTTTGACTCTTTTATTATTGGTTTGCAGAAAAAAAGTCCGGGTAAGGAATTCTGTTGACCGGAAAGAAGGTGTAAGGCATTCCCCGAGTCCCGTGGTTCTAGCATGGTCGCTCTTATTAACTAAAATTGGCTTGAATTAATTTTTGGATGAAACTGTGCTTTATTTGATTTTTATGTTTGCCCATGTCCCCTTTTATTGTTGATGACTCTATTAATCCCAAACTAGGACGAGTATCCCCGATCCTAGCTTACACTAACCAAGACGATTATTCCCGACCTTAGTTTGTGCGTTGTACCCAAAAGTGGAGCCTATTCGAAGTTAATTAAATAAAACTTTTAGTTACTTGAAAGAATTGAAACAAGACGTGTCCTTACGACCTTGTCATTTTATTTATGTCTTTATTCCGAAGCGAGTCTTCCCGACATCGGTTAAGACGAAATTTTTTATCTTAGTTAAGACGAATTACTATAGGGGTTAGATTATAAAAA